GGTGGTGTGTGGGGGCAGCAGTGTTGCTGGAGGGCACGGTGGTGTGTGAGGGCAGCAGTGTTGCTGGAGGGCACGGTGTGTGTCTTGCAGAAACTGTACAAGCTGGCGATGGAGGAGGAGAAGAAGAAGGGCTACGACCTGCGGGCAGATGCCATTCCCATCAAGTCAGCCAAAGCTTCCCGGGACATCGCCAGCGATGTGAGTGCAGGGGAGCCCTCGCGGCACATGCCAGTGCTCAGTACTTTATCACTCCAAAGTCTCTGTGATTTCACCTGCTTTATTTTGCTGCTGGTGTTGCCACAGGGGCTGCCAAGGGCGTAAAGGAAAATGGAACTAAAACTCACTGAAGATTTGTTTTCCTGCAGTACAAGTACAAGGAGGGGTATCGGAAGCAGCTGGGCCACCACATCGGGGCCCGCAACATCGAGGACGACCCCAAGATGATGTGGTCAATGCACGTGGCCAAGATCCAGAGTGACAGGGAGTACAAGAAAGCCTTTGAGAAGACCAAGACACACTTCAGCAGCCCCGTGGACATGCTGGGGATCGTGTTGGCCAAGAAGTGCCAGGGGTTGGTCAGTGATGCCGATTACCGGCACTATCTCCATCAGTGGACTTGCCTGCCTGACCAGAATGATGTGATCCATGCCAAGGAAGCCTATGACCTGCAGAGTGATGTGAGTACTCACTAATATGCTCTTCATTACTAAAAATTGTAATTTCCTTGGAATAGAAACTACAGAAGCTGCTCTCATCCAGTATTTTTCCACATTGCTTTTTTCTTTCCCTATTCCAAGTGAAGTCCTTAGAGTTTGAGTAGAGATTGAATCTGTATGTAAGGGAGTTTGGTCATTAGGAAGGTTTATAAACAGCAGAACAAGCTGCACAGAATCCTTCCCAATAGACAATCTCAATACATTTATATGCTGATTAACAGCTTCTCAAGAGGAAATGGTGTAACTGCTGCCTTTATATGTTGTGACAGAACTGCTACAAGTCTGACCTGCAGTGGCTGCGGGGCATTGGTTGGGTCCCCATTGGATCTCTGGAAGTGGAGAAGGCCAAGAGGGCCGGGGAGATCCTGAGTGACAAAATCTACCGCCAGCACCCGGACACCATCAAGTTCACCAGCATCCCAGACTCCCTGCCCATGGTGCTGGCCAAGCAGAACGCGGACACCATGAACAAGGTGAGTGCTGGCTGGATCAGTGCCACATCAGCAGCCTGTGCCTGAACCCCAGGGACAGGGTTGGAACTAAGATTTGCAGATTCCAGCCCAGTGAGGCTTCACAAGTGTAAATCCCATTCCTGGTAATCACCAGGTAACGTATTTTCATCAAGTGGTAATTTAATAATATCTTCCAAGTTACTGAGCTAATTCCCAGTTATCAGCTGGGAAGCTTTCCAAAATACTGTGCTGTGTGTCTAGTAATGTGTTACCTAACTTCCATCTAATTCTGAATATAGCAATTTGTCTGATAAATCAAATAATTTATTAAATTTACCTCATAATCTAGAAGTTAATAAATTCCTTGTCTTTGAAATACCCATATTTTAAACAATTCAGCACAGTACTTAAAACAGAACCTTTGGCCCTGATCTCAATCCTATTTATATTAATAAACTCATTTTCTCTTTCATACAGGCCTTGTTCTTAGAGTTTAGATCTCTGTGTGTCTGATTAGCATTCTCTGCCTTTTTTCTAAACATCTTTCTCACAGAATCCTTTCTAGGCTGTTAATTTTTAACCTGGAATTTACATATCTAGAGGGGTGAACTTAAAAATTCATGGCTGCATAAGGAACGAGGATTTTTTAGACTTTGGGCACAGATCTGTAACTCTCCTTGTGTTTTAGGAGATCTCTCAGTAGTCACTGGGGTTTTTTTCCCCTTTATCACATATAATTTCTCCTGCAGCGTTTGTACACTGAGGCCTGGGATAAGGACAAGACACAGATCCACATAATGCCCGACACTCCTGAAATCACACTGGCAAGAGAGAACAAGAAAAACTACAGCCTGGTGAGTGTTTGAGCCCTGCAAATGGATCTGCTCTGTGCCAGGGCTGCACTAGGAATGTTCTGGTGAACCTTTTATAGCTGACACCCTCGCTTTCCATAAGTAAATCCCGTATTTATCCTCCAAAACGTGACTGTAAAATCCTCGTTTGCATATCTGTAGTAGTGCATACTTAGACCAGTGAGCACTACTGAGAGTAGATTCCATGGGAAACTAGTTGGGAAATTTTGGGGAGTCATTTCTGCCAGTGTTCATATCGTTAGGAAGGCACAAAATTAATTCCAACACTGAAAATACCAAAAAGATAATTTCAATTCCGAAAAGCTGTGATCCCAGTGTTCAATGTTATTTTAGGCAAAAAACCCTCACATTGGTAAAAGGTGGCTTTAAAAAGTAGGTTTTACTCCCCTTGAATAGCAGAATAGTTTAGCTCTCAAATTGTAGTCAGTGGTATGTTATTTAAAGTTGTAAAAGAAAAATTCATTAACAAATGTATTTAACAAAATCCTCCTTTGACGTGAGTTGGTACCAACTATTGATATGGAGCTCTGACCTAAATAAAGCTGAGTTAAAATAAATCTTAACATAATTTTTCAATCTGCTTCCAAGCAGTTTGTTTTGCATAGAATATAACATGTGGAACTTTTATGAATCCCACTGTTGAATTCCTTCCCTAGAAACAATACAGACAGGCCATGGAAGACTCAAAGAAGAAAGGCTACGATCTGAGAATCGATGCCATCCCCATTCAGGCGGCCAAGGCATCCAGGCAGATTGCCAGTGATGTAAGAATCCACTTTCTTGTTTCTCTGTATGTTGACATCTCAGCTCTGCAGCCTGGGAGTTGTCAGAGGTGAGCTGGAAATACAACATCTCGTTTTGCATTTCAGTACAAGTACAAGGAGGGGTATCGGAAGCAGCTGGGCCACCACATCGGGGCCCGCAACATCGAGGACGACCCCAAGATGATGTGGTCGATGCACGTGGCCAAGATCCAGAGTGACAGGGAGTACAAGAAGGACTTTGAGAAGACCAAGACCCACTTCAGCAGCCCCGTGGACATGCTGGGGGTGGTGCTGGCCAAGAAGTGCCAGAGCTTGGTGAGCGACATTGACTACCGGCACTACCTGCACCAGTGGATCTGCCTGCCCGACCAGAACGACGTGATCCACGCCAGGCAAGCCTATGACCTGCAGAGTGATGTGAGCTCCCTTTTATGTCATTTTTGGGGAGCATTGTCTTTGATACTCTATGCAGGTGGCTCAGACCATCACATCCTGATGTGGTGGAACCGACTTTTCCTTTTTAAGTTTCATGGCTGATTAAAACTCAGATCTTCAGTAGGATGTGCTAATTAATAGATACTTGAATGAGCTACTGTAATTCCCGACTGGGACTATTTGTCATTTTCATTCTGTGAAACTTGGGCAATGGTTTCACTGTTTATGTCCATTCAATGCAAGTTTTTTCCCATGATTTTCTCTGGGACCTTGAATTTATTTGAATTACTGATAAAGTTGATTTATCAAAGGTTATTTATATGTTAAAAGAATCACTATGCAAATTGCATTATTATTATTATTAGAATAACCTTTGTGTGTTTTTTGATGTGTTTTTCTTGTGACAGAACTACTACAAGTCTGACCTGCAGTGGCTGCGGGGTGTTGGTTGGGTCCCCATTGGTTCCCTGGAGGTGGAGAAGGCCAAGAGGGCTGGGGAGATCCTGAGTGACAAAATCTACCGCCAGCACCCGGACACCATCAAGTTCACCAGCATCCCAGACTCCCTGCCCATGGTGCTGGCCAAGCAGAACGCGGACACCATGAACAAGGTGAGTGCTGGCTGGATCAGCGCCACATCAGCAGCCTGTGCCTGAACCCCAGGGACAGGGCTGGAACTGCACTGAGCCCAGGCAATGCTGAAGTGCTTTATTCATTCTCCTCAATCGATATGGCCATTTCCTAAGTGTTGTTAAATTCCCTCAGATGAATCCTCCCTTTGTTGATGTTATCTCTGCCTAATTACCTACCCTGTTATCCATTTTGTATTTCCTATATTTTTCCCTCGTATGCTCCACGTTTACCCTGAATGTTGAGATGCCATATTTTCCCCTCCTTTGAAATGCCATGTTTGTCTCTTCCTCTCTTGCCTCTCAGCGTTTATACACCGAAGCCTGGAACAAAGACAAGACCTCGATTCACGTCATGCCTGACACCCCAGAAATCCTGCTGGCCAAACAAAACCGAGTCAACTACAGTGAGGTGAGGGAAACTGGGGAGGGAGACAGTTAAAGGGTTCCTGGCAAGAACAATTTTGTCATCTCTGACATTCAGTTCATATTAAAATATTATCAGGTTGCTTAGTTTCCCATTTTACAAATAACCAGTTCCAGTGCTAAAATCAGAGTTGTTCTTTCACCTGTGTACTTAATTAGCTTTTTAAAAGATATCATCTGCCATAATCAAGAAATCATTTCTACAGCAAGATATGGAAATAAATAATTTTTCTTTCCCTTCCCTGAATTATTTCCATTTCCCAAACATCTACAATAAAATTACAAGGTCTTTGAAATCTGCATTTCATTATTTTCTAGAGAAAATAGAGCTGTGTTCAAGTTATCGAAGTTGCCTGAAGATCAAATATATTGTTTGGGGATTTGAATAGTTTTATGACTCAGATGTGCTTAACTGAAACGCTGTTTTGCTTTTGAAACTGAAATGTGATTTTGTTTTTCTCACAGAAAATGTACAAACTGGCCTTGGAGGAGTCGAAGAAGAAGGGCCATGATTTGCGTTTTGATGCCATTCCCATCCAATCTGCCAAAGCCTCCAGAGAGATTGCCAGTGATGTAAGCAGGGGTTTTTTATGGATTTGGAATACCAAAAAAGAATCTGAATGTTTGTTCCTCCCTTTGTTCATGCCCTACCTTAAATTATAGAATAGATAATATTATATCCTAGATTCTAGCTTTAGTGCATGAAAAGGATGGGGAGCCAGTGTTTTTATACATGAGCCTTAGATCACTGAAATAAATAGATGGAATAATGTGAGGATTATTTATATGCCCCCTGCAATATGGATGTTCAAATGGGATGATCAAAAAGGCATTTGAGTCAGTGCCAGGGTTTGTCAAATTAATTTCAAAAAATATTCCTCTTCAAGTGTCGTATCCAAGATGTCTGAACACAAAAACGGGGGTAAAACTATGAAATCACTAGGACAGGTTTTGCTTCTGGAATGAGGCAACATCACTAAGAGAGGGAGAAAAACAGATTTTTATGCTCTTTCATTTTTTATCATAGTTGATATTACATATTGTATTAAGACCAACTCACACCATCCTCATCCAGGTGTTTTTTGTACAAAGGTTTTAAAATAAGTTAATCCTTATAACTTAGTCCTAATAGTAAACGAATGTGGAATATCAAACTTATTAGAATGCTAAAAGTTTAAAAACTAAAAGTTAGTGAATTGAACCTGTGATATAGGTATATCAAAAATGTGAGATAACTATATCTAATAAAAGTGCCTTTTCTGTGAAGATCAATCCAATAGCGGAAAGAACTGAATAATATTTTTATCTCAACAAAATACTAATAAATATATTAAACTGATTGAATTATTTATTAACTTATCAATACACAGAGTGACTCTGAATCTCCTTTTCCTGCAGTACAAGTACAAGGAGGGGTATCGGAAACAGCTGGGCCACCACATCGGGGCCCGCAACATCGAGGATGACCCCAAGATGATGTGGTCGATGCACGTGGCCAAGATCCAGAGTGACAGGGAGTACAAGAAGGACTTTGAGAAGACCAAGACCCGCTTCAGCAGCCCCGTGGACATGCTGGGGGTGGTGCTGGCCAAGAAATGCCAGAGCTTGGTGAGCGACATCGACTACCGGCACTACCTGCACCAGTGGATCTGCCTGCCCGACCAGAACGACGTGATCCACGCCAGGCAAGCCTATGACCTGCAGAGTGATGTGAGCAAACCCTTACCTTTGTGATCATAATTCAAGATACAGGGTCTTCTACACTCTTAATTTTTCAAATATACGTTATATACCTGAGTCACTTCATTAGATTTGTTGGTGGAGGTGAAATGTTCATCACACCATCCCATTTCTGTTTAATTGTATTTCCTCAGTTCTTAACCTGAGGTGTAATTTTATTTCATCAAATTTATGTTTAATCCCATATTCCTCAGTCCTTAACCTGAGGTGTAATTTGTGTGTAACTCTGGTATTTGTGGTGTGCTCCAATAACTCCATTCTTTCTGTTATTTAATCATTATTTTACTTCATCTTCACAAATAACAAGTGTTTTCAAAAGCATATCCTGCTACCAGGCAGAAACACACACAGTTGTTCATATAGACTAAGATGTGCTTATTTATAGTTAAAATTTTAACTCTGAATCCCACTTGCACCTGTATAATGGGCTTTCAAATCCTTTCAGGCTGTTTACAAATCAGACCTGGAGTGGCTGCGGGGTGTTGGTTGGGTCCCCATTGGTTCCCTGGAAGTGGAGAAGGCCAAGAAGGCTGGGGAGATCCTGAGTGACAAAATCTACCGCCAGCACCCGGACACCATCAAGTTCACCAGCATCCCAGACTCCCT